GACTCTCCTTTCCCCAGTCAGCCCTGCTCCACCCAGACCTTGCACCTGGAGGTCTCAGGTGCAGGAGCGACAGGAACGACTTCCGTGAAATGCGCAGAGACCTCTGCTCCCTCCGACCCCGGGACGTCTGCAGGTGGACCTAGTGAGCAGTGAGTGCCCTTCACCAGGTGGCCCAGATCTTCACAACCTCGATCTGTGTCAGTCCCACAGGAGAATGCAGGTGGCCAAGCCAGAGCTAAGTTTCAATTCCCAGGGCCCCTTGTGGCGACACTTCCTCCTGGAGGGCAAACCCGCCAGGCTGGCCTGGGGCTGCTGTTGGGGGAAGAGCAAATCACACCCAGGAACGGCTGGACCGAGACCCGCATCCTCAGAGTGGGTTTCATGACCCCACAGAAGCCCCCACCCTTTTGTCCTGGTCGTTACACAGAGGGCCCCCAAGAGGAGAGGGCCCCTTTCTGGGGACGGCCACAGGCAGTGGCCCAGTGGCTTCCTGAGGCGTGGGGACCAGCAGCAGGCAGGCCAGCAGAGTCAGAACTCTATAGGAGTTGCTTTTTGAGGAGGCTGATCCAGGGCTCGACAGCACCGGGCGCCTGTGGCTGGAAGGGTGCTGGGTGTCCGTCAGACATCTGACTGCCCGCCCTTGTTGAGTGAACTTTGTGGCAAAGGGCGTGTCACTGTCAGAAGCCAACGGCCCAGAAAAGCAAAGGTGCACAGTGGTCCAGTCAGAGAGCACCGTCCCCGTGGGCACCTCCACGTGACCCAGGCTGTCAGGTCAGCGGCCGCGACTTGTTTGCACACTAGTGGGCCCCACACGCACACGCTGCTGGCCTGCCGGCTGTGGTCTCCCAGGGGACAGGCCGGACCGTGGACGGGGCAGCCCCGTGGTCTCGCTGCTGTAGTGCCAGAGCAGCCACAGCGAGGACGGAACGAACGCACTCGGCTGTGTGCCAACAAACCTTCACTAACCAACCCAGGCCGGGCTCCACGAAGGACAGCACGTGGGCCAAATCCCGCCTGGGCCTGATGGCATATGACCTGTTTTTATACTTTTTAAAAGGGCTGTAAAAACAAAAAGAACAAGAAAGAACACGCTATAGAGACCATATGTGGTCCACAGAGCCAAAAATGTTTACTATCTGGCCCTTCACAAAAGCCTGCTGACTCCTCGCCTCAGCCCGAAAGTCAGTAAAACACACAGTGATGGGCCGAGCCCGTGGCGCACTCAGGAGAGTGCGGCACTGGGAGCGCAGCAGCGCTCCCGCAGCGGGTTCAGATCCTGTATAGGGATGACCGGTGTGCTCACTGGCTGAGCGCGGTGCGGCTGGTCCCAAAAAGGACAAAAAAAAAAAAAAAACACAGTGACATTCCAGGTCCTCAAC